TTCTTCTGGCGCTTCTGCGTCCCCTTCGCCTCGCCGCTCTTCTTGCCCTTCGCCATCTTGCTGTGGTTGTTTAGCTGTGTGTTTGGTTGCTTGGTTGCTTGGTTCTGCGCGGTGTGTGAGGGCGAGGGGCAAAAAGAAAGGAAAAAAAGAAAAAAAGAGAGAGAAGGTGCAGCTGGACGCCCATGAGGACTGGTGATCACAGAGGGGAGCGTGCCTCACTGCACACGCACAGACACACACATATGTATATATATATATATCTACGTGTGGCCGTCAGCCGTGCGGCCCCAAGTATCTTGTTCCCTTCCTATCCCCGTTGCTAATCTATCTATAGTTGCGGGGGGCATGGCGTTGCCGCCAGTCCACCCGCCGCGACTGATGCCTCTAACATGTGGGTCCTCACGCGTAGCCGTACAGGATCTTGCCGCGCTTGCGCAGCGCGTTCACGACGTCCACGGCCGTGACGGTCTTCTTGCGGGAGTACTCCGTGTACGCCGTGGCGTCGCGCACGACGCCCTCCACGAACGACTTGATCACGCCACGCACCTCGTCGTAGATGACGCCGGAGATGCGCTTCACGCCGCCACGGCGCGCCAGGCGGCGGATGGACCCGCGGGTGATTCCACGGACGTTCTCGCGCAGGATCTTCTTCTGGCGCTTCTGCGTCCCCTTCGCCTCGCCGCTCTTCTTGCCCTTCGCCATCTTGCTGTGGTTGTTTAGCTGTGTGTTTGGTTGCTTGGTTGCTTGGTTCTGCGCGGTGTGTGAGGGCGAGGGGCAAAAAGAAAGGAAAAAAAGAAAAAAAGAGAGAGAAGGTGCAGCTGGACGCCCATGAGGACTGGTGATCACAGAGGGGAGCGTGCCTCACTGCACACGCACAGACACACACATATGTATATATATATATATCTACGTGTGGCCATCAGCCGTGCGGCCCCAAGTGTCTTGTTCCCTTCCTATCCCCGTTGCTAATCTATCTATAGTTGCGGGGGGCATGGCGTTGCCGCCAGTCCACCCGCCGCGACTGATGCCTCTAACATGTGGGTCCTCACGCGTAGCCGTACAGGATCTTGCCGCGCTTGCGCAGCGCGTTCACGACGTCCACGGCCGTGACGGTCTTCTTGCGGGAGTACTCCGTGTACGCCGTGGCGTCGCGCACGACGCCCTCCACGAACGACTTGATCACGCCACGCACCTCGTCGTAGATGACGCCGGAGATGCGCTTCACGCCGCCACGGCGCGCCAGGCGGCGGATGGACCCGCGGGTGATTCCACGGACGTTCTCGCGCAGGATCTTCTTCTGGCGCTTCTGCGTCCCCTTCGCCTCGCCGCTCTTCTTGCCCTTCGCCATCTTGCTGTGGTTGTTTAGCTGTGTGTTTGGTTGCTTGGTTGCTTGGTTCTGCGCGGTGTGTGAGGGCGAGGGGCAAAAAGAAAGGAAAAAAAAAAAAAAAGAGAGAAGGTGCAGCTGGACACCCATGAGGACTGGTGATCACAGAGGGGAGCGTGCCTCACTGCACACACACATATGTATATATTATATCTACGTGTGGCCGTCAGCCGTGCGGCCCCAAGTGTCTTGTTCCCTTCCTATCCCCGTTGCTAATCTATCTATAGTTGCGGGGGGCATGGCGTTGCCGCCAGTCCACCCGCCGCGACTGATGCCTCTAACATGTGGGTCCTCACGCGTAGCCGTACAGGATCTTGCCGCGCTTGCGCAGCGCGTTCACGACGTCCACGGCCGTGACGGTCTTCTTGCGGGAGTACTCCGTGTACGCCGTGGCGTCGCGCACGACGCCCTCCACGAACGACTTGATCACGCCACGCACCTCGTCGTAGATGACGCCGGAGATGCGCTTCACGCCGCCACGGCGCGCCAGGCGGCGGATGGACCCGCGGGTGATTCCACGGACGTTCTCGCGCAGGATCTTCTTCTGGCGCTTCTGCGTCCCCTTCGCCTCGCCGCTCTTCTTGCCCTTCGCCATCTTGCTGTGGTTGTTTAGCTGTGTGTTTGGTTGCTTGGTTGCTTGGTTCTGCGCGGTGTGTGAGGGCGAGGGGCAAAAAGAAAGGAAAAAAAGAAAAAAAGAGAGAGAAGGTGCAGCTGGACGCCCATGAGGACTGGTGATCACAGAGGGGAGCGTGCCTCACTGCAAACAGGCACACAGACACACACATATGTATATATTATATCTACGTGTGGCCATCAGCCGTGCGGCCCCAAGTATCTTGTTCCCTTCCTATCCCCGCTGCTAATCTATCTATAGTTGCGGGGGGCATGGCGTTGCCGCCAGTCCACCCGCCGCGACTGATGCCTCTAACATGTGGGTCCTCAC